TACCACTTTTCCTTTCTAATTCTTCCAAGTCACTCGTCCACCATTATCAGCACTGTACGGCTAGTGCATAGGACAACTGCCACGCATTCCGGAAACCCACTTCGTTGGGTAGCAGGACAGCTCCGCCATTCCTGATTCAGTGACTGGATTCACTTATCAGGCACGCAAGCCCTCGGCATGGCGAAGAAGTCAACTCCTTCTGTTGCATACTTTGAGGAGGCGGACGACGACGGACATCTCATCCCCGGCGCTGAACCTAAATACGCCCGCTCCACTCCGAGCAGTCCTTCTAAAGAAAAACCTAACACCGGTAGATCACGCAAAGATTCGACGAGGAGAGAAAGATCACCTCCCCCTTCCTTCTCAGATTCTGACACTACCGAACCTCCTCTCGTCTCCAAGAGAGACTCTAGATCCAGCAAAATGAAGGGAGATAAGAAACGAGATCCTCTTGTCAAGCAGCAGCGTCCTGCTCCCCGCTCGCACAAGACTGCTCCGTCAGCCCCATCACGAATTTCTGATGAGTCGTCTTACTACGGAATTCACCCTCAGCAGACCGTTGCCGCCTCCAGACCACGGGCTCGTACTAGACCTGAGTCTTACTACGGCCAACGCCCACCCATGTCAGCATCAGCATACGCTCATCAACCGCCGCCGCCGCATTCTGCGCATATGGGGCCTCCACCACCATTCCCGCCTCCTCTATGGATGGCTGGACCGCCGCCTCCAATGGGGCATGCGCTAGTCCATCAACCCATCCCTTCTCCCACATACTCGGAATTGAACCCTCCCCATAGAGATTTGGCATCACGATTTCGTCGTCCTCAATCGGCTATGGGCTTTCAACCCCCGCCTCCACCATCCGAGTACGAGCCATCGAAAGAGAAGGCACTCACGAGAAGGACATCTGTATCAAGGAAGGTTAGCAAGAATCACGACGAGAGAGACCGGATGCCACCTCCACGTCCAGCTTCTACACAACCGCCTCGAGAACGATTGGTATTCCGCCCGCCACCACCCTCGCACACAGCTTCAAGAAGGAAGTCGGTCGGGTTTGAAGACGATGAACTCGTTGACGCCGATCCTTCTATGTATAAAGCCGTGGCACGGCGCGAAGTAGAATACGGTTCCGGTGCTCTCCCTTCCTACTCTCGACAAAGACGCCAGAGCTTCGATGCAGAGTCGGTCTTTGATGTTGATACTACCTACGATATGGAGCAAGTGCCGCGTGGCCGACGAAACTCGTTCTACAATTTCGAGGACAAGGTGCGCGACGCTTCTCGATACCAAGAAGACGTCAGCGCAGGAGGCGGACCGCCATTGACGGCCGAGGCCTTGCGTCGTGTAAAGAATGATGACAGCAGCCGCTCAACTCGAAGCAGTGCAAGCCGTGACGAGAGCGATTATAAGCAATCTGCGACAACACGAACGACAAGATCGAACAGTGGAGATGATGACATCACGATCAAACTCCCCATGGGTGCTGTTATCGAAGTCGGAAATACTAAGATCCATTGCAAGGACGGTGGTGATATCAACATTGGCCGTGGTAATGGGACCTCCCGCGCGGGAGGTAGCGACCCCCCAGCTTCCACCTACGGCGATGACCGGAAGAGTCGGGCGGATCGATCAGTGGCGCGAACTCGGGCCAGTTCACAAGCCGGATCATACTCCCGTACACGCCACGCCCCGCCGCCTCTCTATGCTCCCCCGTCTTCTTATGCTCCGCCGTCCTCCTATCACTACGACGACTACTACAATTCTCAGTACCCAGCTCCTTACCTGGCTTACCACGATGATGATGATGATAGCGAGTATTCTTCTTAATGCCAAGTCGCTAAATTGAAGGAATCTATGAATTTTACGCGTTGTTTTTTTACTGGGCAGCGGTTTACCTATTTTTTATGCCATTTACATTTGGGTATTTGAATACATTATGCAACCTTTCGACTTATTATCCTGTTATATCCTATCATATACCTTTGGTGGTCTGAATACTTGTTACCTTAAAAGGGGTTCAGAAAACTATGGATACCCCAAAATGGATCATAAAAGGCCCGCGGAATGGAAGCACAAGCATGTGTTTCCTTGCTAGATTCCTAATGGTCGGTGGATATTTAACAGTGTACACGAATCTACGAGTGTATGAGGTGGAATGATAGTCGGGCCATGGACTAGGGATTTATTCGGATGGTGGGAGGATGTATACATAGGTGGCTGTGAGGTACATGGAGCGAGCTTTGACTTGCGTTCTAACCTCACATCCACCTTGATCCTTTCAAGCCAATCGGGAATAGGGGGACGATGTTCTATTTTTGTCTTTTTATTTTTTTCTTCGCAGGAACTGGCCGTGCCATGCTGTTGTGCGATACCCTTTGCGCTTTCGAAGCCAAGCCATTCGCATTCGCATGGAGTAAGAGTTGGACTGATAGATTTAATCCGTTGGGCAAAATGAAGTTCGCACTTCTACTGTCAGCGGGACGTTAATGCTTTTGGCGCACCGAGGGAGGATTTTTGTTGTTGTCTTCCTTCGGTACGGAGTTATTTTCAATTGGATGAGGGGGCGGACTCGAGGAGGGCCAGGAGTTAGTTCGTACCCCGTGTGGCCTGGCCTGCTATCACTGGGATTTGGTGCGAGGAGCACAAGGACGGTCGATCCGCCTGGACCCTCGTGGTAGCTTGCATGGTTCGGGGTGGGACTGGTGAACGGCCGACACGCGGAGGGATTCGTCACGATCGCACGACCTAGGATAGCCTTTGGGACTTGGTCGGAATGTCCATTAATTATTGATCTATGTATAGATACGTATGTATGTGGATGGTTTCGAGGTAGCTTATGCGGGTCATGTTGGATATTCCCTTTTCTTTTTTTGCTTAATGAAGGAATTATGTCTTGAAGATTTCGTCACTTGTGCAGCTTAGTCTATAGTGTGTAATCTATGTAATCGAGTGTATATATGTTCCCATCCCGCCGTGCGTAAGGGACTGACGACACAATCGTCGTACAAGGGAGTCGTCCGTACTCCGTAAGCCCATCATCTCGAAGGTGCTGCGGAATGCAGGTTGGCAGGGTTTCCCCGTTTCCCCACGCAGATTGTGCCACGTCTTTTTGCATCTACATATGTAACGATCGTATGTATAGTCTATGTATATATATGTACTCTAGTGCAGAATCAAACCAGTAGAGTGAATTCGCTACTAGCCGGTCAGCTAGTCCGGGCGATATTAACTTGAGGTATTATTGTTGTGACTTGTCTGACAATGGTACCTACCTACATGAAATGACGCCTTATCGAATGTGGCAGCTAGTCGCGCGAGTATTATTACGATCGTAGCCGGATGACGACTGGTTGACATAGGTACGGGGTGATAGGGGGATAGGGGACTAACTCATCGGCCTGTCGGTCCAGAGGGATTGTGGGATCGGGGTTGGCTTGTTTCATGTCCTTTCCTCTGGTTGGAGATGCTGACTTAGCTATGTCGATCTCGAGCCTGGGTTTATGTGCTGCTCACGATGATATATGCATACTATGCATGAAGTCCTTAGGGAGTATTAGGGTATCAAGGTACATAGACAGACAGACATCTACCTACCCCTTACTCGAAATCGAAACGGAATCTTCGATAGCACCGTAATTGAACTCCGTATGATCTACAAAGGCTTGAATCGTGCTGTAATCCAAGGGCGATTGATAAATATAGCAAAAACCAGACCTAGCTGGCCGCCGGTTCCGAGCTCCTGGGACAATGTCCGGGCTAGTGGTATCAGGATTCAGCGCTTAGGTAGGTAGCGACGACAATGATGCTAGGTATGTCTTTCACCAAGTCAGTCGATCGACTGAATCCAGCTAGGTACCTATCGATTAATCTGTTGCTGCTGTTCCCTTGGCTCAGGCGAATCTGAAACGTGACGTCTCTCCCCTTTTCCATTGCCGTACGGAGTTTACTCTACATGTATTGTACGAAGTACTACCTACAACATACTGCCTAATACATACCTAGGTAGGTATGTAGCGAGAGGGACGGCGGGCCGTGATAAGCTTATTCGCTGATGCCTTGGAGCGGCTAGCGATACCGATTGGGTTTTAGCAAGAGAGTACGGACAGATTCGGGGTTCTGATATTCGCATGAACTAGATCCTTTAATCTATTCCAGCCGTGCGGTTGGTAGTGGTAGCTGACTCGGGCGCTAACAGGTATACCTTTCGACGAAGCAGAGCAGTCAGCAGAAGCTTCACCAATCGACGTGTGGAATTGTGTTGCGTGTAGTTTAGTTATTGTAATGTAGTTCTTGTAATGTTAGGTACCTACACCTAAGGCAAGTTGCAATGGAGATAGGAAAATTGAGCCAACTTCAGCTCCGTTGCGATTGCGATGCGCCTTCGGAAGCTTAAATGACCTTAAATGACCTGAACGGGCTTAAAAGTAGGAAGACAACCCCACTATCCTCTTTGGGATAAATTGAGTACATAGGTACCTAGGTACGTACTTCCTTAGTCCAACCAATGCTCTTATCGATATCGATGATAACCGATAAGTGTGCTGGCAATGGTCCCACGGTCCCACTTGTTGCTGGGTCAATTTCCAACCTGTTGTTGACTTTTGACATCATTCCATCTACCAACCTCCCCAAGCTGCCCCAGCCACACATTTCCGAATCCACGCTGTCAGCCATAGAAACCACCGGACAACCGCCCCGTCGTAACGGTGCAACGCTTACCTTTTCTTTCCTTCCCTACTCACCTAAACCAACCGCTCACAACGTAACGTCAACAAGGTGCATGAGCGAGCGCCTGTCAACAACACTTCCAGGAATTCTCACCTCGTGCATTCCGGATTGTAACGAGGGTGGGTTCGATCAAGACACCTTTTCCACATCAGCTTGGCTGGTTCTGGTTCTTCCAGTAGAATACCAGCCGAGTCATTGATTTCACCAATTCTACTCCCCATTCCAACCAGAAATAATACCGTCGTTTATTCGACAATTCATACGCCATAAAGATGGCACCTCTGCTGCCGGGCGTAGCGGCACACGCTCGTAGCTTGCTATCGGCAGCCCGAAGCACAGCAAACGACCTCGCCGCCCGCTCGACAACAAACGTCCCTAGCTCCCCGGCGGATGCTCTCCAACAACTCGGGCCCTTAGCCGCCCGATCAATTCTACTAGCACGGGACGATGACAACAGCGAACAGAAGGTCGACCCGCACAAGGGTGCCGTGCGGCCTCAGGACATCAACAATACGGCCGTGTTCGTGTTATTCGGTCTCATCGGCGCTGCCCTCGTGTGTACCGGTATTTGGTTTTTCTTCTGGGCCAAGAACGGCGGCTTCTACTTCAAGGAAAACGACTGGGAAGACTACAAGTCCACTGTTCTCCGCCGCAAGGGCCCTAACGGCACCATCCTATCTAACGCTACCCCCACCACCCAACTCGGCGGCGGATCCGTGTACAAGGACGTCGACGACGGCCGCACCGAGTACACCGGCGGTCTAACGCAGATGACGGGCGACACGGGAAGCACGCTCACCGGAATCACAGCAGGCGCCTCGGACCTCTCCGCGCGCGAGCGCCGCCGCCAGAAACGCGAACGCAAAGACCGCGAGCGGGAGAAGAAAAAGGACCGCCGCAACCGCGAAAAGTCGGGCCGCCGCGTCGGCGAGGACGGCGTCCTAGTCGACGAACAAGCCGAGGTCGAAGCAAAGGAGCAGCTGCGCGCGTACCGCAACGAGAAGGCCGCCCGCGTCGGCGGCATCAACAAGGAAAGCGAGGGCAGCACCTGGGATGGCTCGACGAACCCCGAGAGCTCGACGGCGGGTAGTGACCTCCACAGCAATCGGCACAGCAAGCACAGCGGCGCCAGCGAGACCACGGCCGACGGCGGACGACATAAGAGCGGCGGCGGCATTCGCAAAGTCTACAGCACGGCGGACCGCAATGCAGATCGGGAGAAGCGCGCCGAGGCCCGACGCTTGCGCGAGGAGAGCCGTGCTAGCGGTAGAGGTAGCAGCAGCGGCGTGAAGCGCGATTACAGTTTCCAGCGCGCTCGAGCGGGCCCGCAGAGCGCCGTGTCGTCGGGAGTACGGGCAAGCACGATCGAGGAGGAGCCGAGGGAAATGGCCGAGAGCAGCGTGGGCGGTAGGTTCCTGCCGCCGCCGAGCGGATGGGTTCCCAGCGAAGTCAGCGCCGAGAGCGCCGATACGGGAACTAAGTCGTACCACCACGTTATCCCCGGGTTGTCGCCTAGCACGGTAAGCGGCACGGATGTCAGGGATTACGCGGAGGATAGGGGTAGGGATAGGGATAAGGATAAGGATAGGAAGAAGAGGCGTGAGTCGAGGGGGAAGGGGAAGCAGAGAGAGTAGGGGGTTTAATGGGTGAAGGGGATGGTGGATAGGGATAGGGATAGGGATAGGTCAGGGAAATGAGGAATGGGAGATGAGTTAATGTATATGATCGTTAATTCCATCCGGTTTGCCATCTGGCGGTAGTGCAAGTATGAAAGGTTGGTGAGGGGAGGATATCGTTGCCGTCAAGTATATTTCTGGTTCTTGGACGTGCAAAGAACTAGGCCGGGGGATAGATCCATATCGACGACACTAGTTTATTTTCTTTACTCTTCACTTTGGCGATGACGGGTTTACGGTTACGAACACTTCTTGTTGTTGTTGTCGTTGTTGTTATTTCCGCTTTCAGGTACATAAGTCACGAACAGAGTGGAAGGGGTGAGTGGTCGGATGGATGAAATACGAACTGTATGGAACGATACCGACGAAGTATCCCAGAGCAATTACCCCCCCCTGTGACTTTCAAGTAAATAAATGGCACTAATGGCGTTTCTTGCTTTGAGGATATGAGCTTGGAGGTTTGGGCTGTTTCGATGGTATCCCATGTAATTAGATAGCATAAGGTCGAGCATGAATGAGACCGTTAAATATACAGAACATGAATGAAGACGATTGGCCGAACGGATTCACATGGGCATTGGTTCGTCGGGTTTACCTGACTTGACATAGTCGCGTCCTATACAGAGGAGCATACGCCAAGATAGACTACGTCGAAGTACGAACGAACCCTATTCCCTTAGGTACTTTCTCATATACATGGTCTGTAACGGCAGAACGAAATAAAGACGACGGATATTCTAGCCAGATTTTAGGTCTATATCCATTAGGTACATACATACATACATACGACAGAAAACCTGCACAGATAGATATAGATACCTAAGGTAGGTAGGTAGGTAGGTAGGTAGGTAGATAAATACGGTATGAAAACAACATGGTAAAATGAAAACCAGAAACTGTATTTTCTTTTCTCGGGTAGATAGATGGTGGACTATTAGTGGTAGAGTAGGATAACCAACCATAGTTAACCCCTAATCCAAGCAAATAAGCCAAAAATGAGTCAACGATAGATGCAGAAAGCCAAGAAGTATAAAAAAAGAAAAAAAGAAAAAGGAGAAGATATCGGGTTCGCAAATTAGTAACCTGCCCCCGACTGTCTTTTGTTTTGGTTATTCGTAAGACATGTTAGTCGTAATGTCATGATAATTCCTTAGATTCATGCGTCATTCTGTCCCCAATTTTTGAAACCCCCGGTATGCCATGTTGTATGTATGTAATGTATGCTGTCTTAGTGGACGGTGCTGTGCTGCATAGTATGTAGAAACGGAAGCAGGATGCTAACTATTAATAGTTGTTGGTCCTTGCGTACCAGTGTGCTGTTTTCCCAATATCTATATCGTGGAAATGTCGCTTAAAATGTGGTGACAACAGGTCGCCGTTGGAAGTGAAACGTAATTTGTTGTTGTAATATGGCCGATCTCCAAGTCGGTCAAGGCTAGTTATAGGCAGTAAAGCCATAGAGTAGATTTTGTGTAAAACGTATATATAGGGTAATGCCGTTCAATACCATGGTGGCCTAGGCCGTGTATGAACGTATAGTTTGTTAAGGGCGAAGCGGATTTACCTCCTCGACTTCTTCGATAGACGCATCTTCTTATCCCAGCACACGTCAACAGCATAGCTGACGTTTTCGAAATCTTCCCCGGTAATCGAGCCGATGAAAAATACCTTGACGTTGTGCTCGATAGTGACTAGCTTAGAGTAGTTGACCCGGGATTCCTTAGCAAGTTTCTCGCCTTCCGCGTAAACCTGTAGTGCTACGGGGGTGAAGCCAAGTTCGGGTTCATTCTTTAGAAGTCTAGGCTTGCTCCCTGCCATGTATATGATTCCATGTTTGCTAGGTCTAACGCCTTTCTTTAGACATCCTCTTCGGTCGTATGTTAGGATTGGCCTATTCCCGTGAGCAGGTTGAAAGGCAAAATGGGGATGGGATAACTGATAACTTACACGCAAGTGCTATGATGGCTCTCGTCCGTTGTGACAATGATGAACCTGCGGAAACCAACGTAGAATTTACTACCAGCTGCAGTCCTCCTTTTCGTTACGTCGGAAATCGGGTCGTCGCCGCCGATTTGGCCGAGAGGTTCCGACCAAAGAATCTTGAACACCTATAACGACACATTTAGCTATTGTCCTATTTTCGGTAAACATATAAAAACTAAGCACCACTTACTTCGCCTGGCTGGAACCGTGCTGAATGTTCTACTCTGTATCCTGTTGCCAACTTAGTCGAATACGAAGAATTGAAAGCCCCAAGGTGGACTTACGGCTATCTAGGATTTCTTCCATTCCTGGTGTTCCCTGGATATAATTGGCGTAAGATAGAGTTGACGGGATCATAGGACCCGAAACTGGCGAACCACCACGCGGCGTTGGTAGGTCGTCCCCATTTACTAGGGATGGATCTGCTTAAAAGTATCAGCCACCGTGTCAGCTAGAGGGTTTGACGTGGTACGGACTTAATTCGTATGCATTAGGGTCAACGGTAGTAGGCCAGGACGAGGATGTGGCTGTTTCTGCCACTGGCGTCGAGTAAGATGATGGCTCGCCTGTTTTTTGGGTTCCGTAGTATTCGCTGCGACTCCTGCGGATAGCTTCCTGATATTCATCGTCGTTGAAAACCTGGTTTTCCTCAGGTTCGTCGTATCCATTCACTTGTGCTTCTGAAACATTCCCAGCTGTACCAGCTACAATAGCTTCAGCACTTAGATAGTCTGAACCGGTATCTAGCATCATTAGCGTCTCGTGGTCGGCTCGTGATAATTGAGTCTTACATTGGGGCCGCGTTCCTTGGCTATAGTCGCCCATTGCCAGTTGCACCCCGCGGGCAACTTGTGGTTGGTTGCCATCCACCGAGGAACCGCCATAATCTGCAAGCTGCTCTACTTCGAGAGATTTTCCCTTTCCTTTACTGCTTTGCTGTTGCGTCTGCACATGATCAAGGTAATTGGAATCTTGGGGCTGGCGTGCGTCGTGTGTATAGCTAGCGTGGTCGATGGCGGTAGCATGGTGGCCTCCATAATCAGGATACTGGCCTTGGTCGTATATACCTTGGTCGACACTAAGATGACCAACTTCTACAGCCAGGTTGTCAACCAGGTTGTTAATAGCGTCAGACCGTGGGATACTTTGGTCAGGGGCGTTAGGGAGGGTTGGCCCAATCCAATTATACTCTATAGTGCCTGATGAATGGTTCGTTAGCACAAACCAGGCCGGGAATTCGCAGGATACCATAAACGTAAAACGTACCATGCCGGCCTACTCGTTCCGAATACCATTGCTGATATTGGTCGTGCCACTTGGGTTCGCTCCAAGGGCGCGACGACTTTTGCTTATGTTTCTGCTTTTGCATTGTGACATTTTGTATTTTTACTTCTCATGGGAAATGTCAAGGGGCAAAGAGATGTGCGCAATGTCTAAGTCGCCTAAGTCGTGGGCAGAGGAAGCAATCACGAGCAAATCGGGGAAGAGGAGACGAAGCCGACGCAAACTGAGCCTTAAATCAGCTATGCGCTATGCGGCTCTGTCACTGATACGTTCTCTCGTCTTAAAAGAATAATAATAACCCTAGGCTGTTATAAGGATGGCTTCGGTCGAGAAGACAGCCAAGAGTGTGGGACAGTTTGTTTTTGGTGAACACTACGCCAGCACGTCAAATGTCTCTGGGGACAGCCTCTGGGGACAGAAGAAATCTATCTGATTTGACGGCTCGAAGTCACACTTTATGTCTCGTGATATAGTCGGTTAAAGGTCATTGGCCGTGACAGCTTTGAGGCAAAAGAAAAAGATGCAGTGCTCTCGTAGGAGTCAAATGGCGTCGACAATGTGGGAATGAGAAGACGAACTGGCCAGGGATCGTAGGTGAACTAGAATTGGAAGCTTGTAAGGCCTAGGTAGGTAAAGACTATCATGTAGGCATGAGAGTGGGCAACCAATCATCAGAGAGGATGGTGGTGGCTGCAACCTCGGCGTTTGTATAACGGACGGAGGAGTTTCCCTCAGGGCTCTCCGGAGAGGAGAGGGACATTCAGATGTAAGTGAGAGTGTGCCCGCATCGAGCATGGGACGGGGACGCGGGACGAGGACAGAGAAAGGTATAACAGAAGCGGATGGCCGAATTAAGCGGTTAATTATCAGATCGGGACACAAAAGAAACCCGAGACATACTATAATACTGTCGTGACGGAAAGCGACATAAACAACAGTATTTCGTATTTCATAAAATAAAAAAAGGACTAGTAGGGCATGGTGGAAAATGGAGAGGGGGTGTGGTGCGTTCTTATCAACTTTTTGGGAATTTCCAATTCTCACTCCTCACTCCCTTGGCGGGCCGGCCCACCTATATTGGCCTATTCGCCTATTCTTCTCCGGTCTGGAGTTCTTGTTACTTTCTATTATCGAGAAAGTAAGAGGAGCAAAGAGGAGCAAAGAGGAGCAAGTAGAGCGGGAGTGTGAGCGGGAGTCTGGGTCTTCCCACTTCCCAGGGTACAAGTAGCCACTATGTAGTAGGTATCCCAGGGTCCGTTTTACACTACTTTTCGACAAGGGGAGGGGAGCTCTAAACCTCTGCAGCCCGACAAAAGGGAGCAAATAGAGGAATCGTGGACCATCAAGCGGCAGCCACTTGGCGTAACTTTGAATGCCACTTGGGATGTCCACTGTCGAATACGTCGTAGCAGCCGCAAATGGCCTAGCCAAACGGCTAGACCATGTATTGTATATTGTAGCAATGCAGAAGTCTCCATATTCTAAACGACACACCCCACTATATAGTAACCACTGACCACTGACGGACGAGTTACATAGAGGGGGTTAGGGTGTGTGCGAGGACCGGAGGGGTGCGTGAGGAGAAGTCGGGCAGATGCATCTAGGATGACAAGATGAGGCTCTGTTTAAAGTACTGATCATCTTGTGTACAAACTATAATAAGTCGTTAGGCGTGGACAACCGGCAATCGGTCGTGGACGTTGAGAGCCTCGTCGTGTTGTGAGGAGGCGGGTGTTTTCCCAACTCTTTTCGCTCGTCCACGATGCTTAAGCGCTTAGATGCTTGGACGGCAGGACGGTTGGAGAAAAACATGCACGTGTAAAGTAGAAGTTTGATAGCTCCAGTCTTTTTTTTACCACTTTTATCAACTTACTCAACTTATTAGTCTATAAAAGGTATAGTGACCACTATAACGTTATATACTTGGTAATTGTCAATTACCTACCCTGATTAACTCCAATGCACCTACCCACATGCAGATAAGGAAACTGCACTAAGACATTAATTAATACATAGTAAGACGTTTGATCGTACATAGGGCAGGCCTGGAGGGGGGGCAGTCAGGGGACTAAGGGTTAAGGGTAAGGGGATTTTCATCGCTGATGGTGAGTGGGTCTACACTAAGAAGGTTCTGAGGGTCCCGCCCGGGGGAGTCGGAGTCGGGAGATACTACCAGTCTAGTTAGGTGGCCTTTTTAGACTGGGGTGCTAGAGTATAGGTACCTACACTAGGCCCCAAGGTGGCCCAAGGTGGGATACAAAGTGAATAAGTTCCGACAAACCTTTGCGCCACGTGCTAAATCTCCCCTAAATAAAGCCCAATACATAGCTGCAACGGCTACCGGCTACGAATAGCTGATCCTCAAGCTGTCAAGTTACCTACCTGCCTGCCTACCTAACTTACGCTGCTGTGCTAGAGGGTGGGCTTTGTGTAACTGGCCTCGAATCTAGCCTTCGTGTTTTCTTTTTCCTTTTTTTGCCTTACCTATCATCAATCTGTATCAAAACACACCTCTCGCATCACTTCCGCATCACCTGCTCACCTATCGATTTTTTGGTCCATAGGAAATAACAACAGCCTTGTCTCCAGAAAAAAAAAAAGGAAAGAAAAAGAAAGGAATAACGTACCCATTTCTTTCACTTACGATGCTGCTACGGAATTCACAGTTGAAACGTCCTGAATGGCTACTAGCGTCGCCCATCGTCATGTAAATTTGGCTGATGATCCTTTGGCTCTTCTCGAAAGCTTCGAACCTCGTCCCCTCGAATATGTCCGCCATCATGACGTATTATACGACCCCTCCACTGAATCTAGTAGTCAATTATCTATCATGTCGGCCGAGGACATACCCTTAGATTTATCCCGTACCCTAACAACCGGGTCCGAAGGTTGGACTGATTCCGAAGACGACAACGACGATTCGTCCGTCACGTCTGACACTTCGCATGCCCGCATCGCCCGCCGACCGCATTTCCCCCCTGTCCTACCCTCCGTAAATTCATCCTCTAGTATCTCCAAGAGTCTGCCACAGAAGCTTGCAGCAACTATTGCCGCTGCCGAGGGGTCCAGCTTAAACCGCCGGCAACACAATTTAAGCAAGTCTCACTCACCTTCTGCTCGCTTTCGACGTGTGAAGTCACCGTCTATACCTTCCCAAACCCACAGAAGGTCTCTCATCTCCGATGCCCTCCGCGTCCACTCTCCGCTGGACTCGCAAAATCGGCCGAACCTCCTCCGTGTGCCGTCGAGCCGGCAAATACGGCCACTTCCACTTCCACATGGAATCCACGACAATATATCGGGACGGATAGGTCTTCCCGACGTCAGGAACCCTAAGCCTAAGCCGTATACTTGGAAGGGATTTGGAGCAGAGAGTGAGGAGAGCGACTACGAGGAAGATGAGACCGGGCTGGCCGACTCTTCTGAGAATGAGGACGATGATCAGGACAACGTGTCCGACCGCGCTTCTCGCGGCCTCCGACGCCTAACGGAGCACTACTCGAGGCTTAGAGACCGGAGGACTAATCTATGGGAAATGTTCGACAGCATCCATCTAAAACGAGCACAGGTTCAAGATCTACGTCACATGAAGGATGAAACTAGTCTCGCCTTCATGACTGCTGTGCAAACTATACTTCCTAATAATCCAGAGCTAGATCAGCTCTTCAAGGACATGCAAGATGCCCAGCTCAGGTGTCAAGAAGCAGAACAACGCTTCGACGACATGCTGGATGAGCTCCAGCATGGCGAAGTAGAGTTGGAGCTAGAAGAGCAAAGGTTCTATACCGTCGCGGCGGGCGTAGATGAAACTGATGACGAAACCGATGATGAAAGCTGTTCGGTGACCTCGGAGGTCTCAGCACTGCGAGGAATCACTGGTGACCGCCCGGAAGACATACATCCTCTATTTGAAGAGCTTCGAGAAGCTTCCCGGAACATACAGTTAGCCAAGGAGCTTCTAGTAAATACCCAAATGAAAAGGAAAGCCCTGAGTGCAGGAAAGTCTCATTTGTTATCTCCTGATAGTATCGAGCTGCTGGAGACGTACGGGGATGCGGGGAAGAACCGAGCTCTCGAACTCAAGCGATCGGGACTGATGTCGGAAGACGACATTGAAATGCTAATGGATTATGACAAGCTGGAGCGGAAGGCTCGGTTTGATATCGATCGTTTCACGAAAGATGTCACAAGGTTGGAGAAGGAATGCCGCGAAAAGGGAGTAATGCCCAAGAACACACCTTTCCAGGAGGAGGGGTTTGGAGTCAATCCCGTTCTTAACGACGATATCCAGTTAGATGATGTGCCGTTCAACACGCACGCGAGAGGGCAGCCTAAGACCCTGGCACATTCGGTATTCCCCAAGCTGCTGTCAAATCCTACGCACTTGCTAGAGGCATTCCCTATGACAGCTCAACAATCGCTCCGGCTCGCCCTGTCACTTCCCCCGGGAATGCCATCCCGTCAAAAGCATGTTAATGATGCGGCCCGCGAGGTCAATATCCATTCCTTACTTGAAGAGGCTGGAGATGTTGACAAAAGGGGCTATATTAATCGTTGGTTGCTTCATAAGCTTCATTTATCACCCATGGAAGCCGAGCTTTTGTGGTCTACTTTCCATTCTCGTCTCAAGGTTCGCGATACCAATAGATGGCAACAGGATGTCCTCCACCTGTGGTGGAAGGATCAGGCTGCCAATCTACCACCGGCTCAGTTCGAGGGCGTATACGAAGATCGTAGTTCTGCATCCATTAATCCAAGGACAGATCTTCCTGCTAGACGCTATTCCGACTCTGGCCAGCTTGATCATCTTAGGCTTTGGGAGATCAAAGATGCGTGGAACTGACAGACATGGTTCTCTTTTATAGCGCAATGCCCTCTTCAGTATATATATACACCTATATATAGCCATCATGTTCATGGCTTCATTTACTTTGTTACTTCACTGGTGGCTTATGTCGTCAAGTTTTGGGTTTGCGGAGGGCAACGGGACTTGCAAACCGCGTTGGGAAAGATTGATTGATTCATGGACTTTATATACCCCTTATGCGATTTTACATCACGATGGAGTTTTAGCCATTGGCTAGGAAGGGCTAATATTGGATTTCTGTTTCATGTACGGATCCTATGTTAACTTACAGGTGGAGGCTGTCTGTGCTACTTTGTAGGCGTTCGGTCATACTCATACCCCCCCAGAGCTCTTATTCCAGAATGTTATAACTCCGAGTGAGGTTTTCGCAAGCGTTGTCGTCCATGAGTTGAGTACCTAATGTATCGTTTCTATGGTCTTGAATGTACGTACGAATGTATGTCATGTCATGTCACGTATCACAAAGGCCTTATCCATCTAGTTACTATATATGTACACATCTACATCGGTCCGTTAGGCTAGTGATGCTAAACTAGCTCGGCGGGCCGTCCCACCCGGTCAAAGCGAAGTGGGCAGTCTAACCGAGTTGGTAGGTTTTTGATGATGTATTCAGCCAGTCCAAGGAGTTGACTGGCTTCTAAGTTCCACCAATCCTGTTTGCCATCTGCTATGGTACATATTACCTAGATGCGGGGAACGATACACCTCCATCCCTCATTTACATAATATTATACATGTTGTATCTTTTCAAACGAGTACTTCTAGATGTGTTATTTAGTGCTCACGTTACACGACTAATAGCATGGGAGCATGGGATCTTCATTGCTGCAAGCAAGATGCACGACCATTAGGATCCTATGAACCTAGCAAATCAAGGGTCCCAAATCTAAGACACCATAACCAAACAGGCCAAGAGTTGTCAAAATGCTGCACTTTGAAATTGCTAGCTCTTACTTCATCCTACTGTGTTACTAACTTACCAAACCTGATCAACCGGCCTGCCGTCAGAAACAGCACGTCTTTTCGGCCGCCATTCCTTCCAACAAAACATCACGGCCTAACGGCCTACGTAATTATTCCGTATCCAGCCATAACTCCCGAACGGCGACGCCAAGCACCGTAGGATTTTTGGCCGCCCATATAATCCTCCAATCCCGCTCGTGCTGATTGCTACATACATACCTAGACACGGGTCATATGTTTCTCAGAGCGGAGCGACTCCTCTCGAGGGGGGGTCGCGGCAAGATGCAATACGCCCACTGTGCCCTACGGAATCCGGAGCCTGCATCCCCTAGTGGAGGAATACCACAAGGGGCCAAAAAAACCAATGTATAATAAGTTGGCCCCTCTGCCTTGTCGGCGGCCTACACGTGTATTATGTCTTGAAAAAAGAATGGCAATTATAGCTAAGGTATACGTTAGCTCCACGCCCCTCTTCTAATAAATCAGCACGACAGAAGTTGTGCGCAATAGAGGTAGATTGAGCCCAGTACCTTAGGTAGGCAGTAGGGTTTGGGTCGAATCGGAAAATTCGGCATTGTAGGAGATTTGTGATTGGAATTCCCAATGAAAAAGGGTCTAACTAATAACTCAACAACTAGCAAACATCGGAGAAGGGGGATCCATAACTCAGGTGTGTTGGGCTTTTTTTTTTTTTTTTTTTGGCCCTTTCGATGCGGGGACAAGGAGGGAAAATCAAATTTTATGATGTGGCTAATTCCCAGAATTCCACGACCGCTGTTCAAGGCTGCTTGTTCTACACTAACCGGATGTATGTAGACTCGGGCTAGAGATGAAACTTAGATGAGGTCTCATTATCAACAGGAGTTCCTGCAAGGTACACGCGCGTCGGAAACGCTCTATTGCCTGTACCGACCTGCAGTGCAGCAGCAGCAGCAGCAGCAGACGTCGTGGACCGCTGGGGGGAAACGAACTACATATCGGCGGCCCACGGATAGACCAAGTCAGTCAGTCATTCAGTCACCCGCAGTCGAAATTGCTACGCCCGACCGGGAGCGAGGCGCAGATCTGGGAAATTGCGACTGCGACTGCAACTGCAACTGCGCCTGTGCCTGATTTTGCCCCCCGACTACCTGCATCGAGAGCTTCCTCAAGAAGAAAGGCGTATATCGTGTTTAGCAGCGTTGTTTTTTCTGGTACCGGGTTCTGAACCCGAAAACTCTTTCTGCTTGAGGAAACTCCGAATCGATATAACCGAGTTTTGCTGTCTTACCTTGATATTTGTTGTGCTGTGTTGGCTGGCTTGTTGGGTGCAAGCCACATTTATGGATCTGTAGCAGTGATGTCTGGAGTAAATAAAATAGTGTTGGGTATCTAAGTACATACACAACCAGGTAGGTAAGTAGGTACATGTAGGTATTGTTGTAGTTTTATCTGCCCTAGCAAAGTCTTCCTTTAGCTCCGCCTTATGTGCTGCCGGGGTTGACTCCACAGCTCCGCTGTTTCCAAGGGAAATCCGGCTGCAACATACCATGGCTGCCCCGGCTGCCCCGGCCAAATCTCCGGCCTTCTCAGCACTAGCACCGGCGCCGGCGCCCGTGCCCGTGCCGGCATTTTAAACGTGACAATAATAATGCCAATTATAATGCCAACAACAACAGCACATCTATTACTATAATACCCAATCAATTCTGATAGACGTTCAATATGCCATTCTTTGTAATAAAAGCTAGGTAGGTAGTTATTAATAAAACTAATTTCTTCTTAGTCAACCTTTTCCAGCTAAGAACATAAAAGTACGCCTGTTAGTTCATGTGACAAATGTGACAAAACTCACAAGCTTTAGGTAGGTAACATAGGACAATATCTCATCCTTACAATCAATCAATCTTATAGGCGTTTATAAGGGCGAACCTTCTGAACTTTTCCAGCATAACCAATCGACAATATTGATGAGGGGAGCTGACGTACTTGTGAAACATGGGATGAAATATAATTTATTTCCTATGTAGCTGGTAGCTCTTAAGTCCGTGCCAATACGCACTTACGTCTCTTTAACTCTAACTCTAACTAACGTAAGCTAGGCTTGAGGCTCAACGCCTCGGCTTAACCTCTCAATACTTCATTCAGAGATAGGCATCGGGATATAGTCGACGTTTTAACTAGACATATTGATATGAAATAGTGAATCAAGTAACCACCGCGTGCCAAATAGTCGTCGTCGAGTTACCATCTACTACCTAGGCTACCTACCTAGGTAGTTATTCCACTTTCTGGTAAGCTTGGTCTACTGGCAATGTTGCTAGGAGAATAAGGTACTTGTTTCCCACCACTGCTTGATTTCGTATTCCATTCCTTAAACAAGCTTGCCATTTTATCCGGAAAGTTCTTCTTTTCCTACCATAGTGGTCAAGGACAAACCTCATTTATTTGCTAGGCACTTTACCTATTGGACCTAGCATCTAACATAAGAAACATCTCTCAAGTTCCTATCCGTATGCTCTCGCCCCGTCAGTCCCCTCACGTCAACTCTAATCAACTCCAGTCACGCAGCGTGGAAAAACACGAAAGTCTATCGACGACGACCCCTCCGTCGTGAAAAGTTTTTATTTCTGTTGTTCCTGACTGTTTTGTTTTCCCTGCCTACTTTCTTTCCTTCTTTCCTTCTTTTACCACACCACCCTTCACAATTACCACACTTTTCTGCCTCATAGGCCCAACCTGTCACACCACCTTATTTCAAGTGCTGAACTCTCTGCAGTTCAGATTATTCTTGAACTTTATTCCCCTCCTCCACCCTTACTTCTACTTCTATTTCTACATCTTCCACTCGCACATCCTTTTTGGCAACAGAAGGGTCTGCAATAGCACAATACAGCATACACCACACGTGCCCTAGACACCCTTCTAGTCTTTCCTTGATAGGGTCTTCTTTCTTTCGAGGGCTCGCAAGCACGCATCAACAAATTGTTTCTGGCACCATTGTTACTATCTTTTCCACCTCGTCCAGGTTTCCCAGGCTACACCTAACACGCCCTGTATTACGGGTCAAAGGCACCAATTACGGATCCTGTCACTACAAACCACTAAGCTCTTACACATTTGTTTTTTTTTTTTCTTTTCTTCCTGGAACATCAACTGAAAGACCACCTACTCATACCAGCTTGTGACCAGAGTCTACCATGACTCCTCCTAAGTCTATCATGACTACTATGACTGTTCGTCCCGGTAAGTAACATTTCTCTGTGTCACTATCCTATATACTCCCCCCAACACTACTACACCTATCCTTGTTATCATCTTTGCAATTTCCTTTTCCTTCGAGTGTGTTGCATATTAGGTATACACTACCTTTTCGCGCAACTATGGTGCCCTCCTCCCTTCCCTCCCCTACTTCTATCTCACGTGCCCTTATACACCTACCTCACTGCCCTTTAAAGCCCTGACATGTATAAACCAGCACTGTTGCTAACTTTCTCAAGAAGAAGGAGAAGCCAAGCCTGGCTGGCCTCCTGGCCGCGTGCCCATAGAGCTATTCAGCATGATCATAGAGTATCTGCCCAAACACAGCGCTCTCAAGAGACTGCGCCTTGTCAACCGGGAATTCCACGAAAAGACACAGATTGAATTCTTCCAGAACACGGTAATCAATGTGGGCTTGAAGTTCAACGATTCATCGGATTCTGGCAACTATCACGTGGATGGTTCGACTGCCCCTGGTGACATCACGGAGTTCATTATGAGCCACAACATGTTCCAGCGCGCGGCTCCATTCGTCCACCGCCTCGCATTTGCTCTCGAAATAAGTGAGCAGGAATTAGCGTCTCCCGAAGTTGACGAGGAAGACGAAATTGAGGTGTGTCCCTGGGGCGTCTACAGATGGCCTGTTGATCGCGAGAGTCGTAGCTGCAACTTACGTCTGGACAATATCACCAAGTCTTTGGAGCGTACTAGAGGAATCTCTCATATCTTGGGCCAAGCCACGAACATCCAGGAACTTGCCCTATCATGCGGTGGCGGTTTGGGCTATCTCCAGGGCCCGGATGTCAGTGTCCATATGCCACCCGGTCCGCAACCGATCTTCGGCAACCCCCACCCGGTTCGAGCGGCCGCAGACAGGTCGCTACCCTCTCTTAGAGTCGAGTTTCGCAAGCCTTATAAGCAAGAAAAGATGGAAAAGCGACTAGCTGGCAAGGGAGTTACCCGTTGGGGCATAGCCTGGATCATGAATCAACTCATAAAGGCCGACCGTACCAACAAGCTTCCGTTCACCCATGAGAACCGAACGCGTGCTGCCCTTCCCGTGAGCCGCTACGGCGAGCAAAGGATCACCCGACCCGCTCCTTTGCAGCCCTCTAATTACCGCTTGCAACCGGACCTTCTCACAGACACCCAAGTGAGACTCCTATTCGAACATGTTACGGCGCAGCAGGCGCTTGTCCAAGCGTTCGTACTTGGCGCTATTAAGCACGGGGACTCTTTCGAATACTTGACCAAGCTCAACATCGCGCGTCTTTCAAGCTTCCATGTACATCAACTGTGCGTGGAGGAATTCTGGTCGGCACTACCCCAACTGGAGGAAGTGTCTCTGGCCATTGAGCCTGAATGGAGATCAGTGGCCGTGGAAGACAAATACACCGTCGATGTAAGACAGGTTTATCCTACCGACGCGCTGCCCAAGGTCTTCACGCTGCTCAACGATCACATCGGTCGACAACCGCACATCAAGCGAGTCCATTTCGAGTGGCTCTGCGGAGGCGAAATGGCTGCCGGCTGGCTTCAGAGAAACAGTTACGTCTTGCCCGCGCCGTTCTTGAAGAAGCATCGACTGGTGATCTGTTCAGGAGAGGACAATCTTCTCATCCTCCCCCACGTCACACACTTGTCTCTCAAGAACTGCTGGTTCGCTCCGAACGTATTATATCGAATCATCCACACCATGGCGAAGAAGCACTCCCTCGTGTCTCTTGAGTTGGAAAGCGTCTCTTTGACTGGCCCCCCGCTTTTCCGACAAGTTGCATCAGATCCTAATCAAGGTATGCCGGATGTCGATCCGGCTTATCAGCCATGGCCTCTGCCGCTCGATGCCGCACAAGGCCAAAAACTCCCGGGTCTGATTCAAAACCCTCTCCCGCTATCCTGGAGCCACATCATCGACATGCTGACACCAGGCCCGACGATCAAGGAGCGCGTCTACGCGGAGGAGAACCCCTACGGCCCGCAGTTGCGCATTCGAAAGGAGCTCAATCTCCGAAAGCTCGTGTTCAAGTCCTGCGGCTACATCGAGATTCCGGACTCCCGCTTCGTGTCGAACAGACGCTTCTGGGGACTATTTTACCCGCATCAGCTCAACCAAGCAGTTTATCTGACGGCCCTGCGATATCGCGAGAAACGGCGATTGTTCGTCGATTTCATGCAGGTCAATACTGACAGACATCTGGGCCGGATCAGCGAGTTGAGCGATCCCCGCGAGCAGCATTGCATGATGATGGTCTTTGGACTGCGCACGCTCTGGGAATACGGAATCACTCATTTCCGAGCTGCCATGCGAGACGGCGTCGCAGTTCCTGGCATCGGCCGCTTCAGCGGCACCATCGACGCCGATTCGTTCATGAGAGTCGATTCTGACGACAAAGCCCAAGCTTACGAGTTTGACACTGGATTATTCGACCATGATTACCAGAATGAGGACGAGGACGGCCTCGATGCTATGCTGAAGCGATTCGAGGTGGAGATGGGTTACCAGTTCCCGCGACCGGATTCCAATGATAATGGCAATGCCAATGCCAATGCCAACTAAACTAGTTGTTCAGAACTGCTCACGACACACCTATCACACCTATATGTATTACATTCCGCCTCACAAGGGGCCTGCGTATTATAAACACGCATCGACCTCAGCAGGCTTTTCACTTTCAGTCTTCGCATTTTCCAGTTCATTTTCTTATGTTTCAGCATGACCACCTTCACCCACTCGCGCACCAGGCGGCACACGGCACATGGCACACGGCACATGGCATACGGCATACGGTGTTCAGGAGGTTCTTTCGTGCGACTATTTCTTTGGTTTTTTCCTAGTCATACTTTGTTACACCAAAATAAGTCGACATCGACATCGATATCGACGATTAATTACCCGAAAAACTACTACCAGGCCAGGCGTTAGTTAATTTTCTATCCATCCTCTCGCATCGACATCAACATCAACGGCGGCGGCGTTGGAGAAAAGAAATTTGATTTCTGCATGATATCACCCGGCTGCAAAGCGGCACACGGGCAGGAACCATAACTATTGGAACTTGGAAGTTCAGAAAGGCACTTGGAAACCAAGGGCTTTGGAAGCCCAAGGGCCGTACTAATATGATGTGTGTATTCACTTCGTCGAGCAGCAGCAGCGCATTTGCGTTAAGCTCATTAATTTTTACCTATCCCCTTTCCGTTCTACGAACTAATTTACGAGTCATGGTCTCCTGGAGGCCATACGGGGCGGGCGATTTGGTTGGTTACCTTTATCCATGTTCTGGAGACGGGAGAACAGAGGACTTTTACTTTGCATAAGGTGGACGATTCATAAGGTGGACGACTGCTTGTACTATACTTTTGGCATGGCATGATGCTCATGGCTCATCTCGCTTGAGAGATACGGTGCGGATTTTGATACGTTGCTAGTTTTGCTTGTCTTTGAGTTTTACATACTATGCAAACCCCGATGAGATTCACTCAGTAATAATGACCCCCGATGAGATACATTCAATAATAATCACTGCCCATTATACCCCCATCTGAACTGCTTCCTCTGAAAAGTGATAATATACTAATTCGTAGTTCAGGTAAGTGTGGGATCTTAAGCGTAGTGAGGCGATGGTAGTTGGAATGCCTCTGTAGCTCTACACTAACATAATCTGTATCCAAGGTATAATAAGGTCCAGTTTGAGTGAAGTAATTCGTAAGTCTTGCTCCTTGCTAGTAGACGAGGACGTCTGTCTTTTCTTACAAGTGGTTTAAGAAGAGACACACGAGGAATAGAAGCGCAAACGTCTTAAATTAAACTATACTTTATATTATTATCCTGCCTTGCTTTTCTGGCTAGTAGTTGGCCATCTTGACGGACCCAAGAACACATATGGAGGGAATGGACTACGGGAAAAAGCATAGAAACACGTAGAAGACTAGTAATTCGTCACAATCAAAACGGAAGATGTAAGAGATGATCGTTCAGAAACTTTTTTGCGCGTTATTTGGGGGAAAATCCACGAAGATTTTTGATTTCGCAGAGTTGCATGCCAGAGAATACCTAGACCCATGCTTTACGATAACCGCCTTGACACCTGGAGTTTAAAAGCAACTTTAACCCCGAACCGTTAATCTCCATTAATCGTCACACCCCCTACCTTCACCGCCTCGTCCCCGTCATCTTATTTGGGAATCTATGCGGCAGTGATGGCCTTGCGGATACGGGCACCGCGTTGTCTCGAGCTCAGGTGAGCCAGCTCGCGGCTGACGACTTCCGGGGACTTCTGCACAACTTCCTCGCCTTCGGTCAGGATGAGCTCAATGTGGCACGGGTTCGACATGTAAGGGTTGATCTGTTACGGCTAATTAGCAAAACCGCTTATATGCAAAATTTCATCTGGCCTTAGGAAACTTAATGGGCAGAAGAAACAAGTGGGGAATACGTACACGACCGTGAGCTCGGTAAGTTCGTCTTCGCTGCTTGGGGGCCTGGTTGACTTGGATATGCTTGACGATCAAGTTGCTGGTGTCGAGGCCCTTGGCATCGGCGTTGGACTCAGCGTTTCTGAGGAGGCCGAGGATGAACTCGGCAGACTTAACGGGCCATCGAGCCCTGGTGACACCGAACTGCTTGCCTGTTTGGGTCGACCATGTTAGCTTGCTTGTCTATCGTAATGGCTATAACCGCGTAGCAAATATCATTGAATTCTTTTTTTATCCTCCCCACCAATACTCTGAAGTCTTGTAGAGGCAAATCCGTAGAGACAAGATATTCGTACCTTGGGCTGTTCGGCCAGTGCTGCCGGCGTATCGTCGCATGGGGACGGCCTCAGTCTTCTCCTTAACGTGCTCGAGGAACTTGACGGCGCGGGTCAATTTCCAGCCGTTGATGGCCTGGGCGGTCTCTCGGGTGTTCTTGAAGGAAACACGGAGGTAGGCACCGCGGGCGCGGGCCGACTTCGCGGAGTCAATCTCGGTGGCAGCGTATCGAACCTATGCGAGTAGATTTACCATTAGCTACCCAATTCCCCGTGTTCGTGGTTTTTTTTTTTTTTTCTTGCATCGCGAGAAGTCGTCGACGGTGCGCACTCAAGCCGTACACCGAATTTGACATTGCGGTTGTCGCAGAACGAATTTGCATTCGACGAATTCACTCGAGCGGGATTCTGAACGTACCATCTTGGCTGCTGTGTGGTGTTGAGGTGGGAGATGGACTCGATGTCGTTTGTTAGATTGAAGATTTTCGCGCAGGTCAAAGTTCGGGGAAGTTCAAATTGTGGAAATTGAATTGTGCCCTCGCTTACTGCCCTGAATGGTACGTACTTCTTTTTTGGATGATATGGACCTAAAAGAGACCCACTTGGTCAAAGCGTCGCTTTCTTTATCGATAACGAAGTTTTATCGTAAAATCTTTGCGGTAAATATTCGGCTTTAATGATCGGAGCTCGGGCCATGTAAACTCAATTGAACTCTATCAGCGGTACCTTTAGCTCCAAAATTTTTTTTTTCTTCTGAAGCTCGAAGGAAATTTTATGGGAGCTTAAAGTTAACATAACTTTTCCTCCAATTGTCTCCGCGAAACCCCTAACGCGACAAACGACGCGATAATACTTATCGCAGATATCGCAGGAAGCATACTTAAATAATCCTCTTATTTTTAAAACATGGGCTTTACTCCACGAGGAGGTAGAGGCGGTGGCCGCGGTGGTGGCGGCCGAGGTGGTTTTGGCGACAGAGGTGGACGAGGTGGAGGTAGTTTTGGCGGCCGTGGAGGTGGTGGACGAGGTAAGTTAATTCCGTAAGCTCTATATATTTCAGTATATTAGTTATTAACCATCTGCTGCACAGGTGGTGGCCGAGGCGGCTTCGGTGACCGAGGTGGACGTGGTGGTGGTCGCGGCGGTCCCCCGAGAGGAGGACGAGGCGCTCCTCGCGGTGCTGGACGCGGTGGCGCGAGAGGCGGCGCAAGAGGTGGTGCCAAGGTTGTTGTTGTAAGTTACAGGGCCTTGTTATGAGCTACCTCGTGAATATGATCATCCTGACCATGTTTTAGGAGCCCCACCGTCACGAAGGCGTTTTCGTCTCTCGAGGCAAGGAGGACCACTTGCTCACCCGAAGTATTGCCCCTGGCATCGAAGTCTACGGCGAGAAGAGGGTTACCGTTGATAATACTACTAAGGCCGAGGATGGTACGCCTATTACCACCAAGGTCGAGTACAGAATCTGGAATCCTTTCCGGAGTAAGTTGGCAGCCGGTATTATCGGTGGTATCGACAACATCTACATGAAGCCGGGTTCCAAGGTTTTGTACCTGGGTGCTGCCTCTGGCACATCAGTTTCTCACGTTTCCGATATTGTTGGCCCTACTGGAAATGTCTACGCCGTTGAATTCTCCCACCGATCTGGCCGAGACTTGGTCAACATGGCCCAAAACCGAACCAACGTCATCCCTATTGTCGAGGATGCCCGACACCCCATGAAGTACCGCATGCTCGTACCTATGGTTGACTGCATCTTTGCCGATGTTGCCCAACCCGACCAGGCCCGTATTGTCGCGCTGAACGCACACATGTTCCTGAAAGTTGGCGGTGGTGTAGTTATCTCTATCAAGGCGAACTGCATTGACAGCACAGCTGCCCCCGAAGCAGTCTTCGCGCAGGAAGTGCAGAAGCTGAGAGCAGAGCGTATCAAGCCCCAGGAACAACTGACACTAGGTATGAATTATTTCCCCTTTTTCCCTTTTATTAAAGTTGCTTACCACTAACTATCGTAGAACCCTATGAGCGAGATCACTGTATCGTGATTGGACAATACCAAGAGGCGAAGTAGGCACCTTATAGGCTAAGAGGAAAAGAACCTATTTTGTGTTATATTACGGTCTTGATGTAACGATCATAATCCACGTGGTTCGTGGGATGGAGTTATTCCCATCAGGGCAACGGCGACTAGGCGTTCGGAGGGTCGGTTTATTGATATTTCATCTGTGCATCAGTTTCCATAGGGAAAAGTCTATCTGGTCAATACCACGCAAGCAGTTCGATCCACACATTTGTCTATTCAATCTGTTGTTATAAGGTATATTCTCGCGACTATGGCATGTTCATTACATCGCCGTATTGTCAAGACCTAGTATCTTAATCTAGATTGCTGTGATTCTAGGCTAGCATGTCGAGACCGGTAGCTTTACTCCCTCATCAACCGTTGGCATAGTATACGAGACAGAGACCTTTATTTACTTCCCCGTACATACCACAGCACACCCTATCCAATCGTGCGAGCTTAGTTTTACGGTGTTCAGCGTCTAGTAAAGCTGGGTACCAGCGATTAATATTTGCTTAAATGACTAACATAGGTAAACATCCATACCTCTAGCTTTTACCAGCAACTATTTTGATAGATCCTTGACTGTCTAGAGAGTTATCTAGAAGGCTTTTCGCGTACATATTCAGTCGTCTCCTACTTCTCCAAAGCTACTCTGATCCCTTATGCTCCACTGGTTGAGGCCCGCGTTAAGGTTGGGATTCGATGAAGGCCCCGACGCTTCGCCGCCGCAGCTAACGCCTAGTAATCCAAAGCCTGAGATGGGCAAATTTCCATTACCGTCGCCAACACGTATCCCCTCGCAAAGTATATTTCCCTGGGACATCGCAGGCCCGCCGTCTTGTGGTTGTGCCGGAGGGGCCTCGAGCGCGGGACATGCTGTTGGCGCAGACCAAGGGGGCCAAGCCCACGGCCCAGGCGTTGGTATCGGACCTATCTGCTCTTCTTGCTGCTGCTGGCCCGCTTTGCTTGTAAACTGGTTAATAGGAGGCAGAGAAGTAGCAGAAGCAGTAGACGTAGACGTAGACGACATATCTCCACCGACTAGCAACACCCGCACCACAGGCTCCGGCTGCCAGTCCATCTCATCCGCCGTCCCAAATTCGACTCCTACTTCGTCGGCCCACGCGGCGAAGCGCTCGTTGCATCGGTTCAAGGCGTGCACGGCCCAGTTCCGGAAGCGCAGGTTTGCGCGGCGGACGGAACTGCATTCTGTGCAGAACCGCATGTTGTTGTTGCTGCTTTTACCTTTGTGGACGCCGTTGTGGGTGTGTTGTCGTGGGGAGAAGAATGAGGAGTTGTTGAATGCGTCGTCGATGCTGGTGTTCTCGTCGAAATCGGTGTCGGCGTTGTCTGTGCTCGCGGCCCTGGGGTGTCTCTGGCGGTTATGCTTGTTGTTTTGGTTGACGCTGGAGTTGTTACGGGAGTTGGTTCTGTGCCCTTGAGTGTCGTGGTAAGAATTGTGGTTGTTGCGTGAGTATTGGCCTTGCGAGAAGGATGGGGCGTGGTTGTTCTTCCTGTTATTGCTGCGGTATGGCGATCGGCCACGGCCACGCAGCGGATTATAGTTGTTCTGGCTTCTTCTGTTATCCGGCGGATGGCGACCCTTCACGGTCGGAGAGTGAACACCGCCCATGGGGTAATCATCATCGAAGTTTACGCTTCGTGGACCTCGTCTATTGTTAGCGCAAGTTGCTGGGCCCCGGAACCTATTGTCATTTCTTTTCCTTGCCATGACCTCCGTACTACTCGCTCCCTAGTGTGCCTCTCTAAGTTATTTGATTAACTTGTATTCGATATGACCCGTTCTCCCAGGTTGAACGTATGTAAGTTCCACCGATGCCTGGGGTCGCTGGAAAGATTTTGGTAGACATATTGACACTGCGACCCCCAGGACGCTGGAGGGGAGCCTGGTATCTCTTAAAGGGAGCTCCCTCCATCTTACAGGTTCTCTGATTTCTATATCCTGAAAGGGTGCAAGCCAACCACATAGGTTTTATAAAGTCAGTCGGCACGTTCTAGAAAATAAAGGAAAAGACTTCCGGAAATAAAGTGACGATATCCCCCGTGGGTTACGGAGACTATCCGTAGAAATTTGATGCCGTAGGGGCCGCGAGCTCTAGAAGTTTTCTATCGCAAGGAGATTTGAGTCGTCTTATTTAACTTAGTACACAAAGAGCACCCCAGATAGCACGGGAGAACTCGTCGGTAACCATGCAACGGTTCTCAAGATTCACTTAGTAGACAATGCCGAATGTGAAGGCCGGGAGAGACATAACTGAACGAACGAATAGTGCTTGACACCTGTGTCGGATGCTGAAAGCCGTGGACCTTTATGAATGTAGGCGAATTTCTATTATGAGACATAGTTTCAACGCCGACAAGGTTGGTTAAGTAGATATAAAGGTTTATTGTTTGGCCCTAGGTCTAACAGAGCATTGAGTGAGGACATAATATGCCCCTTTACATGTAAGTTCGTTTTATTGTTGGCCTATTGCTTCTCCTTTTCTTATCTTTCATCTAAAGACGTAAGAGACTCAATCCAAGTAATCTTTAGCAAACCTCGACATCGTCATCATAGAGGACAGTATGTATCTTGAAGTTTCATCGGGGTCCTCTTTAGGAAATCCTGACCGCGCTCGGTTTATCTTTTACCATATCGAAAATGATTGGTAGTTAATGAAATCATGTTTAACTAGTGGTGTTGAAGAACCTACTATCAACATGGTTACATCGCGCGGACGCTCCAACATACCTTCGTTGTGCTATATCCGAATCTCGATAGGATACGAAGCTCTGCACAACCTTGAAGATGTGATTGCCCCTGCATCGGGGGTCCGAGATAGTACCCGCGGCAATTCTCGGATTCCTCCGGTGGGTTTACTAGTCGCGGAGATTTTATAAAGACCACGACGTTGGATTATGCGGTGCTCTGTGCGGCCCTACGTGTCAGCGTGTTCTCGTGATGGGAGTGAAGAGGTTTTGCATACGCTTTGACATTTAAAAAGATATTTAGCTGCTTGGCGACTGGGCCGTGAGCCATTTGAGTACTTCCCCCAGATCCCCAAGCTATCGAAAAGAAGGCTCACCGACGCTAGGATTTATTTCACTACTAAGGCAACAAGGGTTCTTGGCGCTAGACGAGGGGTTCATGGGAAAATATGTTGAGAAATATTTTCTAGATGTTGTGGTGCGTATAAACTATAGCTCTGTCTGGTTTGGATGAAAAACGCTAGTTTCAATAGACTTCGGACCGGCGCTGGGACGAAAACGACTTACAAGCATTTATTGGTCTACGGACACCAAGTTATTCCAAAGTTTGACAAGGAGAAGGGTTAGAAAAATACCCGATGTCGTTGACCTGTTGCTGCCCAGCTCCCGGAGGTTGACTTACATAGGAGTCTTTCCTAGCGGATAAAGACAGAAAGAGGTTAACCTAGTCGTCGGGTTCCTGGCTGGGCGACTTAAAATGAGCACTGTGTACATGGTTGTAAATTGTATAAGTCATGGTCATGGATTTGATTTTGTCCCTGTACCCCGACCATAGCCTTTCTTTTAAGACGGTGGGGGATCTCCAGACGATGAAGCAGCATGAACCGGGTAAATAATCAAACCACAACAAGGCCCCTGACGTTAAGAAGCCTATCATAGCTTTTCGTTTGGCATGGAATAACTATAGTCGTTATCATCAACTAGCTGTATTTGCTTTTGAAAAGGAAAGACCCTTGAACGTAGCTTGTCTGCGTTTTTTATACGTGCTCCTTTCACTTAACTGTGGTGCTTATACGATAGAATCGGATCCGTCTCTGAGGGAATGGCGCCGGTAGGGCGACTTGATCGTCGAACAACTTGAACTGAGCTTAGACGGCTCCTTGGCGAGGAATTGGCAGCTCGGGTTGTTATTACGGTATAGGACATAGTATTGGCTATGCCGCAACATTTTATAATAGCTAATTGTGCCCCTATTCTGCTATAAGAAATCTCTGCGCAGTATGTCCGTGCTGCCGTGTCTAGAAATGCAAAATGATGAAAGTAGATCACCCCGTGGGGATCGCGAAATCGTAGTTGGCCTCATTCAAAATCCTGTAGGGGCTTTGGAAGCTTAGGGGCTTTAGGGACCGCACTGCCGCATAATAAAACGTGCACGTGCCATATTACCTAATAAACGAATATACTCTGATTAGGTAACTTCCAGTTTGGTGCATATTAGGTAATAAACAGATTATCCCCTATCTTACTAACTACATATCTACTATGTACAATACAAGCCGGCTTTTGCCTACCACGGTTGGCGTCAGCACTTATCCCATCTTACCACACTATCTCATCATCTTCAACCGTGAGAATTACTTAGGTAAGTATAATTACATCAGCATAACAACCGCAACATAGACACTGAACGAGGATTTGGATAGCGTGGTCACGTCTGAAACATGTACACACCCATATCGTTGCAGAAGAGTGATGCATATTCCGTATACCTACCGACCTAACAACTGAAGAAGATACGCGGCCTGGATAAACACCAATTCGCCTATTCTCATTGGAAGGTCTCTCTCAGCCAGCCTATCCACAGTCGGAATCACCGCCACCGGTAATAAGATGGCTTGCTTGATAGCCATCATTATTGCCTATCACAGTAGTATTCCCCCTACTCTAATGAGCTGTGTCATCCACAGATGACCACAGAGGCGCATTTCTGCGCATTTTCCAATAGTCTTCATAATATCATCAGCAGTCCCATCCCTTTTATTTTCGATCGCTTCTCTTAACCGCACTGTTCCTAGCTCTTGTTGCTTGACGTGCCAACCGTCTGCATGGCGAGAACACCGTCGTCTGCCAAGCTGGGGTAAAAGGTTACCAAGGATATGGAGCCTGGTGCGCCTGGTACGCCTGGATATGTTTCGACTATTATCCACATATCTTGGAGTCGCCTTAGCTGCTCGAGATGGGCTGAAGAAATGTTTACACCTGCATACTGTGTAGTACAACTTCTGTCCGTCAACGAAACGGGCATAGACGCACGTCAGCGTCAACACCCTACAGGTCGGGAGGAAAACATCCTGGTTCTCTACGGCTTATAACTGTTTCTCTGATTGATATTGCTGGTCACATCCTAGAATAGTCGGCCTGCTATCCTTGCTCGCCATGCCTGTGCCTTTCTCAATACTTGCCGCACATTCTCTTTACTGTTCAATTTCTTATTTGATTGGTCCTGGTACTTGAGGAAACCTCCCAGGAGCCGAAGCCCTTCTAGTTCGCTTTAGTCAAGCACCTGGTCCCTGGCACAAAATATACACGGGGCTTGCTTTATTAGTCGCGTGGCATCCTAGTCGGAATCCAGGAGATACATATGTAGTATTCTGCCCCTTCAAAGATGCGATGAAGAATATCCACATCAATAGGCAAGGCTTAGATCCATGCCATCTCAAATAAGTTTACGAGTTTAGTGTGAATGGACGCCGGAGCTATAAGATTCTCTCGAGACCCGAGTGTTGATGCTATAGATGGACAAGTGGACCTCAGAACTTCGTTACGATTCATGAATCGCAAACACATCTAACTAACTCAACCCTATCGATATTTGACGACTTATATTGGTTTGCGTATCTTATTCACGTGGATAACGTTGACTGCTGGGAAGTCAAACGTTAATTAGTGACTCAGGCGTTCCTTCGGCCAGTTATGCAGCTATCATATTCCTTCTATCGAGTGAAGCAAACATAGATCCAGCATCTCTATTTGACTACCGAATCGGTAGCGGGCCGTTCCTGTTCGTACGATATATCAGCTCGGAGCCCGACAATCGAACCAACTACGCCCGAATCCCTTTGATTCTGATATTAACTACTACACGTGTATACGAAAATGGGGCGCGAATTAACACTTGGAGAGCTCGAGGCGATCAGCGTCATTGAACGAGTTGGCTCCATATTCTCGCTGTTGGGATGTCTTTTCGTCATCATTACCTTCACTTTCTCGAAGGCTTTCCACAAGCCTATTAACCGCCTAGTCTTCTATGCCTCCTTCGGTAATATGATGACCAACGTGGGAACATTAATGTCGAGGAGATATGTGATGCAGGTTGATACGTTTGGATGCCAATTTCAAGGATTTCTTATACAAATGTATGTCATTTGCCAATACACACGCGCTCAACTTACTAAACTATCCAAGGTTCCTGCCCGCTGATGCTTTTTGGACATTGGCTATGGCATTTAATGTCTACTTAACTTTTTACTACAAGTTTGACGCTGCTAGGCTCCGTATGATGGAAAAATGGTTAGTTCAGACTCAAACTCCATCGTCTAAAAGCTAAATGCGAAAACTCATGCAATATCAACTTCAGGTACCTCTCAATATGTTATGGCGTCCCATTCGTTCCCGCGCTCACCTACGTTTTCGTGAGAACAGAGTCGGCTGGCAGGATGTATGGCAATGCCACTTTATGGTGTTGGGTTAGCTCGGGATGGGACATCTTTCGGATCATTACTTTTTACGGTCCTGTCTGGTAAGGGTTAGGGAATTGATCCGTTCAAGATTTACATTGCTGACAATGCATAGGGTCGTTATCTTACTTACAATGGCTATTTATATTCGGGCAGGAAGGGACATATATCAGAAGCGCAAGCAACTACGGAATTTTGGCGCCAGCAGCAGCGCCCATGATCCCGATGCATTGAATATGAACGACCCCTATTCAGTGAAGACAACCGAAGTAACAGTCACGTCCGAGGCTGCTGAAGAGAGTGGAAGTGGAATCGACCTCGCACCTCTTGGACGATTCGGCATGAATAAGAGCAAATCGTCGTACTCGGTAACAATATCGTCGAATAATACAAAAAAGAGTAACAGTAAAGCGCAAGAGGAGGATGTCGTGCTTCCTATCCAAAACAACGTACCACAGACACCATCCACAGCCCAGTCACGAGCAAAATCCCAAAAGAGAAGGGCGAATTTCGAGGCCAATAATGCTGCGTGGTCATACAGCAAGTGCGCCATCCTCTTCTTTACGGCGCTCCTTGTCACTTGGCTTCCTTCGACAGCGAATCGCCTGTACAGTATCATCAATACGAACGATGCGCTAGCATCCCTCGAAATTATGAGCGCAATTGTCTTACCTCTTCAGGGGTTTTGGAACTGTCTGATATACATTGCGACAAGTTGGGAGGCGGTGAAGATGTCTTTCTCAGATCTCCAAGTCCGTATCACCGGTCAACGCCGCGAGTTGAGCCAGTACGGCAACGAACACCAGGATAAACGAAATTTCGCATTCAGGCTTCCAAGCCGAAGCTCACATAATAAGGACATAGAGAGCGAATCAATGACGGAATTAGCGAATAGCGGCAGGACGTCGCAATCTCACCAGGAAGTGAGAGGGCAAGCGATATAACGGTATCAGGAATTAGATTTTTGTTTATATTTTTATTATTTATTTCACTTCTGAAGTATACACACGCATACCCAGGTATGTATCTTGGAAAACGATGTCTTACGCGTGTACCAACACCTTGTAACCATATAAGCTCTATCATCGAGGATTATCGACCAAACGACACACGATTCAACCACCTAATTTGGCATTCTAGAACTCCAGACGTTGCAGCGTCCCTGAGTTTCGCTTCTTGCCAAGCTCAGGTTGGATGGCTCGGGATAGACTAGGATAGAAACTTGGTTTGGAAGATACCGCATTCTCTAAGAAACAATTGATTCTAGGGCACGGACCATGGAGATCAACTATACGATATTTGGAAATGATTTGAGCACATCTTGCTGTGGGGTGCTTTAGCGAAAGCCGGATGTGGTCTAAGTCATTGCAAATATAGTGTAGTCGACGCCCGTGGTCCGTGCCCTAGAATCAATTGTTTCTTAGTAGATGCGGTAGGTGTGATTCCGCTGTGAGGTAGTATTGCCCCCTGAGGCAGCGGGACGAGGGCTAGACTCGTTAGTCGGTCCTTTCCCCTCAACGCTAAAGTAGTCAAAATATGGAGAAGTTCAAGCTTCTTGTTAACCTTCCTACTCGAGCACCGAGTCAAATACATACGCGTGCACTACGCCTGTAGCGTATGAATTACCGGACCCAATAATGGTTGAGCGGGCGCATACTATGTAGGTATGCAGGTACCCAATATAATGATAGATCTAGCCCAGCGATTTAATTTGAGCTCATTCGTATCTCATTCTTCTTTGCATATGTTCTTTATTTCCGATACTGCCGACTTAAAAGCGAGAATGAGAGGAGGTGGCGGTGAAAGGCAAGATTTTCGCTGAGAGAAGAATGTCTAGGTACCTACCTTAGGTAGGTACCTGTTAAAGACGTAACATCGTGCATGATCTGGAGAGTATGTATTTTTCCTGGCCTATCTCGGTTCTGTCTAGCGCAGTGTTTAATACATTGTCCCCATTAGCACTGTTTGAAAAACATAACGACTAGGTATAATAACAACATTGATAACTTTGTACATAAGGCATAGAGTATGAATATGTAACTAGGGAAATTCCCATGTGAGTTGGGTTAGGTTAGGTATCCGTAGGAATCGTAGAAGCATTGAGGCGGCCCAGGTCGTAGTAGGATGCGGAACTTGCCCGTCGGATCTCCTTGGCGTACATATACTAGGTAGAGCATTACGTTCCTGATGACAGATCAGCAGATACAGGGTCTTTTGGCATATTAGCGTGCTTGGCTGTTGGGGTATAGGTGAGTTATAGAGGTATGTGTTTTATAAGTAATAGGTATAGCGAGGTGAACAAGTAAAAATATAGCGCCCGTAAGGCTGATCTGCTACTGTGGTACCTACTATGCCTGTATGCGAGATTTGAAGGCTCGCGCGGGTGAGAGGCGTAGCAAGATTGAAGATTTTCTAGAATTATTATTTACTTGGCTATACCAATGACTTTATATTACCTATTATCATACGTCCTTAAAAGACTCAGTTAATTAACAATTTATACCGTCTTTCCACTATCTATAAGGTATAATCATATTAAACCCTTCCCAATCCTTACATTTGGAAGTTTCAAAAATACGGGAGTTGGGTTCGACTTTTCTCGTAGGTAGGTACATACAGTGTATTCATAGTGTAAAAGACCCTGGGGATCTATTGGCCAATCAACCGTCACAAATTCGAGTTCTCAGGCTCGAAAAGGTAAAGCTACTTGCCCTAGGAACCATGTACACCTGCATTAGCACACAGGTTCTCTGCGGTAATCTCCCCAAATGTGGAAGACTGGAAGACTTTTCCTCTTCTAGATCTGATATACCTTATACCTACCGGAATGATAATATCGTTTATTCCCCAAATATGGATTTCTTACATAATTCAGCTTGTTAAACTTGCCGGAGAAATGTCAAAAGGAGCAGTAAAGCAACGGGGCGAACGCAAGGAGAAAAATTCTCGGTAACGCAGAAATCTCACCGTCGTATTTCATGCAGCTTTCATGCAGATATGGAGATCCATGGCTTCGGGTCTAGCGAATTGGACCTAACGCTGGACCTGTCATAACGTGCCATCGCGCCCCCAGATATAGTAGTGATCAGAGCGCTCGGTTCCCTCTGGCTGGCAATTGATTATGGACCGGGGGACGTGCAAAATTTAAGATACTCCACTATATGTAGGACTCTAGACATCACTTTTACACCATTCCGTATATCGTGCTTACATGATAGGTAATAGTCGGCGTTGAGTTGAGTCCGCGGATAGAATGACACAGTATCTCAAGTATGTTGCACGCAGTTAACTGGCCCTACTATAACATGGTTAAGCGAGCTTCGATACTTCCTCTACTCATCTTCTCCTCCAGCAACCTCGTACGTCAACTGTGAATCCACATGCTCAATGGCCGAACTTATGTACCAGGTCATTACTTAGAAAGAATTACAAAGCCGCAAGCATACCCCTTGACTACCTAATGATCATCAATCTCCGTAAGGCTATCACTTTCGGCTACTTCCAGTAAATGATTACGCAGTGGCATCGTCCGTGCGGTCGAAGTGCTCTTTCGGCACGAGCCTCGAGTTTAACGACGGTTGGACGCCTAATATATCTACCATATGCCTGAAAGATCTCTATGCGCTTATCAGATGAACGGTAGGCCGGATGCATCCACAGCATGCACGTACTATATGCTAGCACGTAGGTAATGCATCTAGCAAACACGCTTCGGTGGGAAGCCATGGGATTGGAAGAGATCTGACGATTCGCTTCCATAGGTTGTACCGCGAAAGTCCGAGTTGCCCGCTTGCTGGAGAAAGTCAGAACACATGCTTAGCCCAAGCTATGCTTTATTAACTACTATACGAGATGCTAGATACTTAGGTATTGATAATGGGTGTTGGCAATATCAAATCTAGCCATAACCCTCTTCACGTGATAAGGAGGTGTATATAGGAACAGACAAATCGAAGCGCAATCGCAAACACCCATTACAGATCCATGATGCTGTTCCTGCGTAGGAATATGCAGGTACGAAAGCAAGCAAGCGCATGGGATGGCCCCTACATATGCACCTAATGGAACGCCTTTTAACTCGTCCCGTAGACGACCATCTACAGGATGGAATGGCACATCGCTTATCTACCTCAGCAAGTACCCGCACGAACACCTGAGCCCCAAGTTGCTTGCCTTGAAGTCGTCATACGGCCCGGGCTCTTATTAGCTCTCGAGATCTGCTGCGGAGTGACGGCTCGGCGCCCTGTCTCCTCAAGCCACAGATACCCGATCTATGGGTTCGATGTGTGGGTGGCTGCAGCTTCTCCAAACGTGCGCGGTTCGGGTATCCTGGTACGCATTCCAATGTTTGCTGCGATCCTGCTACGGTCCGTGGATCTCGAGGATGATGTTGTTTTGGAAACCAAGGAATTGGGTGCGTGGTGGGGCTCCCGCCTTCGTGAGAGACTAGATTCTTACGTTAGGACTCTTCGCTTCTGGTGGTATTCCGGATGGGTTAAAACTTATAATTGATAAAAAGAGCTTAGTTATTGGTTTTTAGAATGATTCACCTCTCCGTAGCATATATAATGGGGGACATGCTACGTCGACCTTGGGGCGTAACGCTTCAACTCGATTTTTTTTGGCTTGTCTTGAAAGTATTTGATACTCTTGACCTAGTTATAGCAGAGGCTCTAACAGAGGTAAGTATTTTAATTTAGTCTTTAGCCAAGGTGGTAGAATGGTAGCATAGTTGCTATGAGGGTTGAATAAGATAATAATTAGATGGTTCGGATAGGAGATGAGGCTCTTTTTATAATCCACTCTTTACAAGGTAATCAACCTTTGGTTCGCCGTAGCCCTTGGTATTCATATTAACTAGGTCATATTCATATTAACTACCTAAAGTTTAGGCAGTTAAGTCTTTAATAAGCGACATTCTTTAAGTATCACGACGTAGGCGACGGCCAAGTATTATTGCCACATGACTAAGTGTGATTTGAGTTAAAGAAGCAGGCATAGATTTAATAAGGTGCATAGGTAGATATTTTACTGACTACTTCGTAGATGCGGTGTGACGACGAGTATTTACTTAGAGATTTCATCGTAAGCCGTATAGGTTGCCAAGGCAATATGCCGGTTGCGATATCTACCAAGGAGTATACACACCACATGCCGTCTATTAGAGGATGGTCTTCCTAATAGACAGTAATAAGTAGATGTAAACTATGATTAAGGATATAACAAAAAGAGCGCAAGAAAAAAAGAGCTTGTTGGTCTTCAGCATGCTCTATGATGCTATTCTGACGAAGAGCTCTCAACCTTGAAAATAGCGCTTTGATTTCTCTGTTCCACGTAGTTATAACGTACTTTTACGCCTACCTCCTAAGTATCACGATCTTCACCGCGGCCTAAGAGACCGAGGTGTAAAAAGGAACGTGGATCCACTGATGGACCAAAAAAAAAAAAATACACGCACACACAAAAAACAAGCAAACACCAAAGTGGAGTGGAGGTGCGTATCGTTTGGCAGATACGTTTGGCAGATATGGCTTTCCGGAAAGGTCGGGGATAACTCTAAGCGGATTTGGAAGTGTCAAAGAGCGCCTAGAGAGGAAATGGACGGGAAGGTGCGTCTCTCGATCTTATTAGTGCAGGATCCCGCGGTCTATCTCTCGGGTCGAGCAGGTACGAAGGTGATGTATTTGCTGTACTTGCCATGAATTCGAGATGCAAAACCGGCTTAGAATTTGATCCAGCTTCAAATTTGTCTCACCTTTCAATCTAAGTTTCCAACCTTCTTCGGATTCTAACGTGTTTCTCAGGTGGTAGGTGGTAGTTATCCAGGATCCAGTCTCATCACTTCTCCTATCTCCCATCTCCCATCTCCCATCTCCCACTTTATATGTCTTGGTTTACAACCTAACCTTAGGTACCTACCGCCTTCTGCATCCTTACTTCATTCACTTCGAGTCCCATCAATAATTCCGTGTCACTCTGGAGTCTGGCAATTGAGGCAGTCAATTCGTCAACAGCGAGTGGCGGAACTTTTGAACCTTTTACCAATACCACCG